ATGTTTTAATTGTTTTTGTTGAATTTCTACAATCGCAGTGAGAAATCATCAAATTGTCATCGATTTGATGTCTATTCCATTGACATTTCTCGTGAGATGGGTTCACAAAAAAATTTTAATTGAATCGATCTTCAATAGATCGATTTATTCAGGTCCGATCTTTTAATAGATCGATTTCAATCAATCCGATTTTAAATCGATTCAAAAATCGATACAATCAATAGAGAATTCGATCACTTTCGTAATTTTCACCTCGTTTCAAGAACCGTAATAAGGACCCAATCTTCATTTTCCAGTATATTGGATTAAACTATTGAGAAACTCTAATTTGGCCTTGATTTCCAGAACTTCCTGAGACGTCTTGGCTACCCAGATAGCACACGATATCATGCTAATATTCGATTTTTATCTTGAATGTACTGTTATTATCGAAATATAGCGTATACATCTACACTATATCCCAATAAAATCTCATTTCCTGTATATTGTTAAGATGTATATCAAATATACTGAGAAAATATATAAAATATCGTATATATATCTTCTTGAGACAAAATCGTATATTGTTCCGACATACTCAAGACATAGAAATGAACCATAATGTACGCCATCTGCATACATATACAATTCCGGTTCCGGCACTTCCGGCCATAGTGGAAAGGATAACGACTGTCTTAAGTACAATCTTAAAATGTCAGCCTTTTCCTCTGACGCGACATTCACATAGACAGACGGCGGAGATTTTATTCGTTCAACGAATAGTGGTGTGCTTTGTATTTGTTTGCAAGTATTTCTCTCTTAAAAATCTCCGCCGTCTGTCTATGTGAATGTCGCGTCAGAGGAAAAGGCTGACATTTTAAGATTGTACTTAAGACAGTCGTTATCCTTTCCACTATTGCCGGAACCGGAATTGTATACGTATGCAGATGGCGTACATTATGGTTCATTTCTATGTCTTGAGTATGTCGGAACAATATACGATTTTGTCTCAAGAAGATATATATACGATATTTTATATATTTTCTCAGTATATTTGGTATACATCTTAACAATATACAGGAAATGAGATTTTATTGGGATATAGTGTAGATGTATACGCTATATTTCGATAATAACAGTACATTCAAGATAAAAATCGAATATTAGCATGATATCGTGTGCTATCTGGGATAGTATATTTTACGTGTACTATAGACTTTCAGTCTGGCAGTGAATGTCGGAACGCAGTTTCTGTCTATATTTATGTTGAAATGTATTAATTGGAAAGCACCTTCTGTCTATTCTAAGAAAGTATTTTTTTTTAATCTTATTTTTTTAAAACCATAATTTTGGTATATTTCTATTTCAAAAAAGAACTTAAGTTTTAGTATTTAATATAATAATGATAATATCTGTGTATTGTTTTGTTAATTAAGTAAGGAGGATTTTACAATCATAATGAAAACATATATATCTTTAAATACATTTATTTTTATTTGCTGTTATTACAATATAAATTTACATAGACAATTATGTAAACATAAACATATATATGTATGTATGTATGTATATGTATAAATATATCTGTATACATATTTTTTAAAATACATATTTTTGAAATGTCTTACAAATAAAAAGCATTTTTATTATAATAACTTTCCTTCCTATCGGTTTTTTAGCCAAATTTGTTGAATCTAATTAAATCCGTTTGAGAGAGAGAGAGAGAGAGAGAGAGAGAGGCAATTTTGTGATAAATTAAAAGAATAACTTTTACTATCGTAAAAATGATATAATAATAATTCAACAAATTTGTTTTCAAGGTGCACCACGAGAAGGTAAACCAATTAACGCACCTCACCTGTAACTATACAAATAATATTAATACTTAATAAATAATATTACTCTGTCATATACTTAAAAGTACTGTATTTTATAACTATCTTATAACTACTACGCCGTCTCCTTGTTCATTTTCTATTGTCCAGTTCTGGGGTTTAAATTCCTGCGCCAAAAGCTTCACCTTGGTAAACAGATCACGCGACTCCTTATGAGTGGATTCGATTTCCTTGCATATGTCCGCTATGTATCTCTCTTTATCTCTTCGATATTGTCGCTTAATATCTTTAGATAGCCTTACATATTGCTCTTGATCTCTTTTCAGCTTAGTAGATTTCCTCTCTTTTATGGTCTTCCATGAGTTTTCGCTTATCCACGGCTTCCTTCTATCCCCTCAGGTGCCGCGAGACTGCTGTGCTACCTGTATGATTTCGTGCTTTATCTTTCGCCACACAACTTCAGCACCATTATTTGTTCCTATCCTCGCAGTTTGAATGCCAATGCTTCTTTGGCCAGTTTTCAATAGAAGTGAAGCTTTGCATGCACCGAAATTGAAATTTGCTTAATTTTGGGAGGATTTTTCCTCTGCAACATTTTCTGAAGCGACGTCGTTATTCAAAATATGTGAAGAGTTACTTATTACTTCCCTCGAAGAAATATAATAATAGAAATAATAAAGTATTTTACATACACAACACATGCTCTTTTTTAGAAAAAGATTATACTCTTAAAAAGGAACATTCATACTATGAGCAAATTCAATTGAGTTTACTTATATTGAACATTCGGAGCTGTCATTTTGTTCTTTATTCATCCTTTGATAAATCCATGTATATTTACAAAATTTCATATGATGAAAACTTTGCCATTGATATGCTGACTAATGTTCGTTTCGTTTACGTGTCAAAAATGCTGCATTGCTTGTGTAAAGAAAACAAAGAAAATAGAACATTGAATAGTTAAATTATTTTTGTACTTTATTTTAGAACATTACAAAAATGAAATAGAATGCTATAAATTTCCTGCAACACAATGCAGAGAAAAAATGAAATACACGAAGGAGTATATTAAAAAAAATAGATACCATAGGTCCTAAAAGTACTGGTGCAGCACCATTAAAATGTGATGGCTTCGATGAACTTGACGAACTGTTTGGAAATAAGCCCATTGTTATTTCAGTCGCTATAACTAGTTCATCAGGAAATGATAATAAGTCCAAAGGTATGATATAAATACTACTATTTTATGAATGTTTGTCAAATATTTCTTTTCATTTATTATTTTGCTATTTTACAGTTAAGCAGGAGTTCAATGATGTAAAAGATTGTGAGAAGAAACAGCGAAAGAGAGCGAGTACAATAAGTCTTAGCGATCTGAAAGTGATACTTGAAGAAATAGAAGTGAAAAAGGCCAGGCATGAACAGAGACAAGATCTTTTTCGAAAGTATAACTCCTCACGAACGCGTAATGGACAAATTACTGGATAAGTTTTAAGTTATGAGAAGATTGCTTTTATTTTGTCCGATTTATCGTTGTATATATATAACCAGGGTTGGGTAGTGCTAAATTAAAAAGTTAAAAGTTCAGTTAAAAAGTTAAAAAGTTAATTAATTTTAACTTAACTTAGTTACATTTTAGACTA